AAATGGTTGGGCAGACAAAGGAATGGGTAAGCTTCCAGGGAAATGGGTTCCTGATGAAGGGCCCAGACCCGACTCTCCTGCTCCTCTGATGCTGCCTGACCTGCTGTGTTCCTCCAGCTCCACGCTATGTTGATCTCATGATTATCCCTGGTGCCATGTCCTGGTGAAATCAGGAATAGACTGGACGGCTGGCGAGATTGCGCAGGTGGGTTGGATATGATTTGCCAAGGCATCGGATCAATTCCAGGGAAGATACAAGCTGGACGGATTTCTCCCCAGCACGGCCAGGACCAATATAGCATTCAGTAGTACGGTGGGGGGAGGGTTTGAACTACCGTGATGGGGGGAAATGGGAAACAAAGACAGAAACTGCTGGAGAAACTCAGCAGGTCTGGCAGCATCTGTGGAGAGAGAAACAGAGTTAATGTTTCAGGTCCAGTGACCCTTCTTCAGAACTGATTGTAGCTGGGAGATGGTTGGTATTACATGCTGAAGATGGGGTGATGCGAGGGGGAGGAGAAAACAATAGTGGAGATGGAGCCCAGAGAGAGAGAGAGAGACAAATGGTTGGGCAGACAAAGGAATGGGTAAGCTTCCAGGGAAATGGGATCCTGAGCAAGGAAACACAAGAAAAGTAAACAAAGTTCGAAACGAAAGATATCAAAACGTGGAAGGCTGAGAAAACAAGGGCTAGCTGCAAAATGGGGCTGCAGGGTGACAAGAACTGGGAACCTAATATCCAAATGTAGTCAATACTTAGGAAAGGCAGGCGTAAAGGAAAGGAAGGCTGGTGAGCTTTGTTAGAAGAGGATGAAAACAGCACAATAGTCAGTTAAAATATCAGTTCAGAATATCTAGAGTGGTGGCGCTAAGAAGAAACAAGAGGTGGACACATTAATCAGAACTGCTTCCAAACACTAGTGGTAAAGTAGGGGGTGGCATTAAACAGGAAATTAGAGATGCATGCAACAAGGGGCTACAGTAATCAGGAATGATTTTTATCTCCATATAGATTGGGTAAGCCACATTAGCAGTAATACCATGGTTGATGAATTCCTGAAGTCGTAGAGTCCATAAGACTATAAGACCATAAGACCATAAGACATAGGGAGCAGAAATTAGGCCATTCGGCCCATCAAGTTCCTCATTCTCCCACTTTCTCCCTGCAACCCTTGATCCCCTGGACAATCAAAAACCTATTTATCTCAGGGGTGTGGGAAATGATGCGTGAGAGCAGAGGACGGAGGATGGAAGAGCTAAAAGAGTGGGAGATGGGCAGCATTAGCAAAGCAATGGTAACATCTCCACTTGCATCGCCATTTCTTGAACCTGTTCCAACCTGGTCCATTTCTGGAGCAAAACTGAGTTCAGGTAAAAATGTTTTTCTCAAATACCGTGGGGGATGGTGAAAGTGGTCACTGACTGCAGTGGGTAGACAGACAAGGAAATCAGGATGGATGGTCAACGTGACCTCTTGCTCAGTCAGCTACACACAACCGGGGACAATGATAACAGTGGCTCAAGAGGGCAAGGAAGTCCCGACTGGAACATACACTTGTGGACGGTATGGGAGAGTCTACACTCACCACCTGGATGTGCAAACGAGGGAATAGCCAGTTAATGACACCGGACAATGTGGTATTCAAGTTGACTTTCAGACAGAAGGAGTATTATGGACAAAAAGGAAAAGCAACTTACAGTCCACCCTCCACCATCAGTCGCCATGTCACAGTAAACATTCAGTGGAATGAAAGGCCCAGAAGGGTAGATCTGGTAAACTCCACTTGTGTGAAATCCTTCTCGATAAATATCTGCACAGTCCATTCTTGGGCCCATCCCTGTGAGGATCAGAAAGTCATTAATGGAAAGAATTGGCTGTAGGCATAATTTGGAAGTACAAGCCTGACTGCTTGTCCCTGTTTTGCAGTTACATCTGTGTTCGGGTGTCCTTAGAGGTTTGGCCTTTATTGCTCAGGAGTTGGAGATTAAAATTTGTTACAACCGAATGGGGTGTTGGTAAGATCACTTCTGGAATCTTGTGAACAGTTTTGATCCCTGTATTTAAGAAAGGGCATACTGGAATGGGAGAAATTGGTTAGATACCAGTGAAGTGGATCCTGTGTTGACAGCAGTGCAGCTACACAGCCTGAGTTTCTTCAGTGTGATCTACACATATACACACAGACACACACACAGGCACACACACACACACACACACACACACACACACACACAGGCATACACACACACACACACACAGGCACACACACACACACACAGGCATACGCACACACACACACAGGCATACACACACACATACACACAGGCACACACACAGACACACACAAACACACAAACACACACACACAAACACACACACACACACACACAGACACACACATACATACACACACAGAGATAGACACAGACATATACACACACAGGCACACAGACACACACACACACAGGCACACACACACAGACACACCCACACACATACACACAGGCGCACACACACACACACACACATGCGCACGCGCACACACACACACACACACACAGACACACACACACACACTGCTAGGAAGCTTCAGCCTAGAGAATCCCTTTCGAATGGAGACAGTATAAAAAGGACTTGCCTGGGCAGATTCCTGGGATAAAAGGGGTGACTTATCAGCACTGACTTGATAAAGGTTAGGCCTTTATTCATTTAGTGTTTCAACAAATTAGAGGACGTCCTATTGAAACAAGATTCTGAGGGAGCTTGACAAAGTGGAAGCTGGGAAAATTTCTGTTTCCACTAGTGCGGGGTGGTCAATCTTGAAATCAGGGACTTGGTTACAGAATAAGGGGATACCCATTTAAAACTGAGCTGTAAAGGTAGTTCTTCTCTCAGAGGGTAGTGAATGTCTAGCGCAAAGAAGGAATTGAGGCTTGAGGCCAATCAGCCATGATCCTATAGAATGGCAGGGCAGGCTTGAGGGGCCAAATGGCCTACTCTTACTCCTATTTATGATGATCCTGCAGAGAGAGCATGCAGTGTCCACTGCTGGATTTCAACCTTTCTGTGGCCTGTGGGTACCGCAGGGGCTGGAATGCATCATTAAAACACACCCCATCCCAAAAACATACATTTCCAAGAGAATGGAGGTTAATTATTTTTGAGTTTCATTTGAATCATTTGCTCCCATTGTTTTCAAAAAGTAACTTGGAATTACCACCTTCTCTGGCTTGGAGTGAATCTTCAACATCCCTTTCCTTCTTAAAGCTGTCTTCATGAGGTTCCTCTACCTTCCTCCCCATCAAATCTCCTTAAAGTTCAATATGTCCAGCCTGTATTGATTTTCTCCCTGTTGGATGGGCAGCTTCACACGCCCTCTCAGTGCTAACCCTCCCCCTATTGCAACATTCCTCATCTCCTCTCTCTCTCTCTTTTCAATAGTAAACTGCTTTCCTCTGGTCATCCTAAGCAATTCGAATGGACATTTCCTCCTTGCACCGGTTTGATCCAAAGCCACAAAGATGATTGTCTGATTTGAATGTAGTCCTTTCCTGGACACTGTCTCGGCATCCTGAGCTGAGCTAACAGATATCACATTGTTTCCATCTGTAACATTAGCCCCTATACCTACTTCACTCTCTCTGCTACTGAACCCCAGCAGCAAAGGTTACAGTACCCTGACACAATTTCCCTCTAGTCCTCCACACATTTTTCCTCTTTTGCAGGCAATATTATGGCACAGGAAATGTTCATTCAATCCAACAAGTCCATGCCTGTGTTTAGGCTCCTTTTGAGTCTTGTCCCATTTTTCCATATTTATATTGATCAGCTTATCTCTCTATTCCCTTATCCCTGGGATGTTTATCTCGCATTGCTTAAATGTATCTACAGTATTTATCCCAACTACTTCCTGTGGGAGCTGTTTCCACATTCTCATCACACTCTCTCAGTGAAGAAGTTTACATTCCCAACTCTCTATTGAATTTCTTGGTGACTATCTCAGGGGAATTAATATCTTATTTTGATGGGATGTAGTCCTTTCCGTCTCATTCCATTTTAACCTTTCAATCTCCGGAAGGTCTATCCTTCAGCCTCCTCTTTTCAAGAGGAAAGTCATTCCATCTGTTAACCTTTTCCTGGCAAGGTACAACCTTGTAGGCCTGGGATTGGGAATGGGCATGGGAAACCAACCAAGAGGCAAAACACTCAGCCAAAACGGTCAGTTGCCCCTCTTGACCGTTTTCCCTGGTTCTGCGTCTATTCTCCACACATTTCTCTGGGACACGTCCTGCCTTTTGAGGGGTTGGCGTGATGATACCTGTGCAATTCCCCTAAACTTGTACACTTTTTGCTTAATTCATTCACGCAATGAGGGCATTGCTGGCTAAACCAGCGTATATTGCCCATCCCTAATTGCCCAGAAGCCAGATAAGAGTCAACCACTTTGCTGTGGATCTGGAGTCACATGTAGTCCAGACCAGGTAAGGATGGCAGATTTCCTTCCCTAGTCAACCCATTAGTCAACCAGATGGGTTTTCCCCCAACAACTGGGAAAAATAGATTCGACATCACTAATTTCTTAATTCCAGATAACTTATTGAATTCAAATTCCACCACCTGCCATGGCAGAATTCAAACCCAGGTCCCCAGAACATTAGTTGGTCTCTCGATTAGCAGTCCAGCGATAATACCACTAGACCACTACCTCCCCGTGCAATAGGATCCTCACTCTAGTTCTGTTATTCAAACTCTC